AGGCCAGTCCCAAAGCCTTGCAGGCACGTACTGAAAAAAAATCACACAGTCAAGAGTGCGGGGGAGGAGAGCAGGGCTGAACTCTGCAGCAAGGCAGAAAGTACAGCTCTGTTACATGCTGCAGACTCAAGACATGCAAACACTAATGCCAACGTGCAGCTTTTAATAATCTGTTATGAATTTGGCTGTAAGCTGATGCAATGGAAGTGCTGGGAACCTGAAAGGTGTGGGCTAGAGGAGGAAGTACAGAGTCGCTTTGACATGCATATTCTCATCCTCTGCTGCTTGTTGTTTGTCTGGTTGCTGTGTGTTCTGGCACTGGGCTGCACTGCTCACTCCAGCTAGCACTCCCCTCTTGGGGAGCCGTGTTTTGGAGGTAAGGTGTGGGAGTGTGTTGAAACGTTGCGGGGAGGTGTAAGTTGCATGTTAATAAATGATGGCTTATCTGCACACACACAGACTGAAACAGTAATTTGCCTGATTTATTTCAGTGTAAGGCTGGGCACTATGGTAAAAAAAAATTAGTGCATATAACTGCTGACTGTGTGGTATTGGTTACTGGTACGTGCTGACTCACCTCAGTTCACCTCCAGTCCAGTAGGAGGAAAGGACCATCTGAAGATGAGAAAGCTGGAATAGACTTGTCAAAGTAGTTCCTGATAATTATTTTTGCATTGTTACTGAGGCAGCAGATTTTCTCCTGCAGTTTGGGTCAGAGAAGAGAACAAAGTAAGAAATAGCACCAGAGCCCCTGAATTTTATTTTGTAACACAAAGATAAACTCTACATGAGTTAATCAGCTGGTGTCCTGAAATTCTAACAGAGTTTACTAGAGGGAGCAGTTTTACTCTCCAAAGCATTTCACTAAAGTAGACTTCACTGTAAAGATTTCCTTCCATTTATAATCCACCCAACTTGCCAGGTGTAATTAGAAAATAACCAGCACCTCGATTTTGCTCCTGTTACAGCTGCACAGACAATATGTCACCAAGAGAGGCTTCAGGGTTGCTGTTTTGTTCAGTATTGTACAACACTACCTAGAATTCAAGACAGATTCAGAATTCAGTTTTGTAAATGCTCTAAAAACATTCTGTGTGCTGAATTATTTGCAGAATCTTAAACAATAAGAAGTGTAAGGAAAGGAGTTGAAATTAAAAAAAAATAAATGTGAAAGTTAAGGAAGTGACTCGAGAAACTAAAGAGGATAGACCTCACTGTCGTAGCTGTAATTCCAAGAAGTTAAATGAAAAAATAAAATAGAGTAAAAATACTTAAATACAACTTTGCCAGTATTCCAGAGGTAGCTACAAGTGTGACAGATAAAGAGGCATAATCACTTTCCTTCACCTGCTGGACACATTCTTACTATTGCAGCCCAATAAGTGGTTGGTCTTTGTTGCCTCTTCCTGGCTCCTGTTTCTTGCTGTCCACTGGAAGCCCGGGTTCTTTTTCCAGCACAATTAGTCAGAGACTGGACCGATGCATGAGGCAGTTTTGTTCCAAAATTATTATGCCACATAGATAAAATATGAGACAAGAACATTTTGAAAGGGTTCCTTCTAAACCAGGTCCTGTGAAAGTCTTGAGGTAGTATATTTACATGTTTCTACCGAGCAGATCCATTTTAGCAGTCAAAAATCTTGACTTTGCTTCTCTTTTCTACTCACATAAGGCTACAGATCTCTTTCGTTATCTCAGTGTAAGTGGCCAGGAATGAATGTAACCATGGCAATAAAAATAAATTGGGCTCAAATAATCTCAGTCCTATCAATTGCTGAATGGTGATTTGATCTGAGCCAGTAAGAAATAATGGGTCACCTGAACTGGTGAAAACTCCACACACAGAATGTGTTTCAGGTCTTTATATCTGTTTTGCTTTGCCTCTAAGTGTTAGTTTGGTTTAAACTTACTTAAAGACCCATAGCTTTATTTTTATTTAAGAAGAGCAGCGATGCATTTTGTTACTTAAAATGTTGCCATGCCAGGTACAAAGCAGCCCCATCAATAATCAGCTACTTTCAATGGCTTCAGTGAAGAGAACAAGCGAGGAGGGCGCTGCAGCTCTGCCATCCTCTGAAGATGCAATTACATCCTACTGCTCATTTACAGAAAACCTGCAACCCCCCCTTTCTTGGGAGGAATGGAACTGCCTGCCCTGGGTGCAGGGAGGAGGCAGCAGGAACAGGACAGAATTCTGTGTCATATGGCATATAAGGAGCTGGGTCCTGCAGAGAAGAGAGGATGGCCAGGAGATGCTGAAGGAAAACATTGGCTCTAGGGGCATCCACAGCCAGCGGGAGCCCAGACTGGGCAAGAAACAAAATCTCAGCCCAGACTGAACAGCACACATCATCAAGAGAAAGAAGTGTCTATTTTCTTACCTTTTAACCCAGAGAAGGTATGTTGCCACTGAAGCAAACAGCTCCAAATGAAAGGAAGGGAAACCCCTGTTTCTTCCCCACTTCTTAACGCTGTTGTGTTTAGTAGAATCCTCTTAAAGTCTCAGCACTTGGAGTGAGGGGAGCCCCAGCTGGTCCTCAGTGACTCAATCCACAGCCATGTACCAACCCATTACTCCTGTTTTCAGTGAATACCTTCTACTTGCATAGAGTGTGAAAGATTTACAGCCAGAGTGCTTAGAACTGCTTTTGGAGAGGTCTTGCAGCAGTAAAACGTAGATGTAGGAGATAACTATGGGTTTATAACTGCTGGAAACTGTGTCCAGCAGTAGTATTTTTACTTGCTTTTGCAGGATTGCTGCTCTATGTTATCTAAAGTGCTCCTTCTTGGTCTTCACTGACTGTCCATTATGTTTTAGTCTTGGAGTTTATGGTAGTTTCTTCCTAGTTTGTTAATTTGCTGACTTATGTTCTGAGGCAGACTGATTAAATTCCTATTTTTGCACCTGAAGTAATATAATTGTGGGAATTTTCATGTTTACCTGAGTTCCCAGATGTTTTGAATGCTGCTGAGATACTGAATCACAAGGAAACCTTGGAGCAAAAAAAAAATAAAAAGGCAAAGATCTGTAGGCTTTAAGCAGATTCACCTCCTCAATTGTACTGATTATTTTTTCTAGAGTTCTTTTGAAACATCTATTTCCAGGAAAATCTCATCCCCACTAATAGCTTTTCCACCAATTTCACATTCCTTCTATTAGTCTTTGATGATATTTCATGTAGTTTTCCAGTTTGTTTTACACTTAAATATTGCTGAGATTTTTATATAAGCAGAAGTCTTCAAGGAATCTCTGATTTTATTTCTGTTTTATGGCAAAGTGTAGAAAGAGTTGAAATTATTTCTTGTAGTTAATACTGTATTGATGAACATATGAACAATGAACTCTGTTCAACCATGACCAGTATATATACTTTATTTTTGTTCGTCTCTCTACCTTCTTATCTTTCCTAAATTTTCCAGCTTTAATAGCTTTGTATCACACCACTTTCCTAGGAAATTTCTGTTCTTCCTGTGAAAAGCAAGATCTCAGTCTCCAAGTCCACGATATTAGCATTGTATTTTCCTTAAAAAACAGTTACAGAGTATGTATGTTGCCATGGACATCTTTGGTTTTGAGAGTGGAAGTTTGTTTACTTTAACCCTGATGCCACAGGGCTGAGCCAGACATAAAGATGTGGGCAGCCAAAATGTCAGCCCTAACTTTGGAATCCTCACGTGTAATCACTGAAACCCTCTTTCTGTGTGAACCTTATGGCAGACCTACTGTGGAGAAGGGAAAAGCCAGTCAGAGAACTGATTCAAATACCCACTCATGGAGTCAGGCTGTGGCACAGAAGCTCCAGTTCACTGTCTGGTTGTCCTTGCACATCTCTGACACAGATGTAGGGGACTGCAGAAGTGCTGTGAATAGAGAATTAACAGGTCTGCTTGGGAGTAGAGGTGCAATGAACAGCAGCAGCTTCGGTGAGACCTAGGAGCTGATGGTTGTTAAGACGCAAACACCTCTGCAGCTTCTTAGGACACGCAGATCAGGAGGGAGAGTGCAATGAAGACTCTCGAAAGCAGGACAGCTAAGTCAGACTAATCAGTGCCAACTCCTAAAGGATGCACGTTCAAAACCTGCACATGGTCAAATATCTCAGAACAACTGAGAAGAAGTGATGAAAACCCAATGATTGACAGTCGTTGTCACCAATGTCATGACAAAGAATCCCAGGCTGATTGTTTGGGCACAAGAACCTTGGTGGTTATGAGAATATGGGTCTGAGAGTATGCTGAGAGTGGCTGAGTGAAATCAGGTTTGAAGTTTGGGGTTTTTATTTTTAAATGAAATTGCCTTCCTCCCCACCCAATAAGCTTTACTACTGCGAAAAACACCAATCACTTGTTTTAAAATTTAAAAAGTTTAATAGTAATGAAATGGTTATAAAAACAGTAATACAATTAGAGTAATAATAATTTGGACAATTTCAATTAGGCTAATATGAGACAATAGATACAAAGAGTTATGGGCCCGAAAAAGGATACTCTTTAACAGAGGATTAACCCTTAAAAACAACAGCCTGTTGCATATTCATACACCTCATACATGATGTATAAATTCCATTCAAACACAGGATTCTGTCTGGTCATCCTCAGCTTCTTTCTGATAATCCTAATGGCACTTTCAAGCCTGAGCAAGGTGGGAAGAAGTTCATTCCCTCTGATAAGATAGCAATAAATTCTTTTTCTCTGAAAGATTTAGGTGTCCTGTGACTGCTATCTTGCTGTGAGTCCTTTCTTTAAAAAAGTATCTTACATTGCATAGTTTCTATTTTAACATTTTGTTATAACCTAAAACTATATTTAGCACACTACTTAAGAGAATTAATACAGTATAACTTTCTAACACAACACATTTTAATATTTGCGAAAAGCCAATCATAAAATACGCATTTTTCACACTAAGCTGGTTCTACAGTACTGCAGCATTATTTCCTATCTGGAATTGATTGCCAGGCATTGAATTCAGCTGTTTCCCTTCTGTTTCCCTCCTGCAGATGACATGCAAAGGCTGCATGGAGAGGGACAATGTGAGCAGTGGCGCAACCATGGAGTTCATCCTGCTCGGCTTCTCTGAGCTGCTCCATCTGCAGGTCCTGCTCTTCTTTACCTTCCTCATTGTTCATTTGATCACACTGGCAGGGAATATGATGATCTTCATAGCGGTGGTGATGGAACCCTCACGTCCTCCCATGCTTTTCTTCCTCGGCCAACTCTCAGCTGTGGAGCTGTGCTACACTTTAGTCATCGTGCCCAAGGCGCTGCTCAGCCTGGCAGTGGGTGGCAGCCCCATCTCCATGCTGGGCTGTGCCGCACAGATGCACTTCTTCGTGGCCCTTGGTGGTGCCGAGTGCTTCCTGCTGGCAGCCATGGCCTACGACCGCTACGTGGCCGTCTGCCAGCCCCTGCGCTACGCGGCCCTCATGGGCGAGGGGCTGTGCCTCCGCCTGGCTCTGGCCTGCGTCCTGGGAGCCTTCACTGTGGCCCTGGGCCTGACAGTGGCTGTGTTCCGCCTGCCCTTCTGTCATCCCTGCTGCATCGACCATTTCTTCTGCGACGTGCCCGCCGTGCTGCGCCTGGCCTGCACGCAGGGCTACGCCGCCGAGCTGGCCCTGCTGGCGGCCTGCGTGCTCCTCCTGCTGCTCCCCTTCCTCCTGATCCTGGCCTCGTACCTCTGCATTGCTGTGGCTTTATTAGGTGTCACCTCCCTTGTGGGAAGGGGCAAGGCCTTTTCCACCTGCATTTCGCACCTGGCCATCACCTTACTGCACTATGGCTGTGCCACCTTCATCTACATTCGTCCCAAGTCCAATTACTCACCGGCCCGGGACAAGGTGGTGTCTCTGGTCTACACCAACGTTACTCCTTTAATGTATCCCCTCATTTACAGCCTGCGGAACAAGGAAATCAGAGGGATCCTCAGGAAAATGCTGAGGAAGAAGAAAATAGGTGAACTGGGATACTATCAGAGTTGTGATGTGTGTGTGTGGTAAATTTTAGTAGCACAAACACATTCTTGTTGGGAAAAAGCCCCATAACCAGATCACCATAGACTTCACTTAGGCAAATATCCAGGCAGAATTCTACATGCATCACTACATTTATGAGAAAAAGATATCTCTGCTCAAAAAAATCCCCAACACTTGATCTAAAGGAAAATGCTTTAGTGAGTTGTGAGGATGAAGAGCTTTGATCAATCACTGGTCTCGCTTCTCTGATCACATACATATTCAGGCTTACATTCATAGTCATGCCAGCACAATCAGAAGATCAACACAAAAGTTTTTAAAGCTAATAAACCAATATTAAAGTATTGGTTTTGTTATTTTTCTATCAAGATGACAGTAGAAATTGGGTAATCACTACAAATTTTAGACTGTAAGTTTAGAGGCACAATAAATCTGTAGGGGCTTAAAGGAAGGTTAGAAGAAGAAAGTCCGTGGCTAGAAAGAAGGGTAAAATAGCTGTGGTTTTCTCCAAATTTAGTAGAAGGCTGCACTCTGGCATCCCATGACAAATGGAAAGATTGATAGTGTAAACTCATCTAACCTTGAATTATTCTACATATTGAAATTTAAAATGCCAACAGTCTAACAAGAGTATGACTTTGCTATGCCTGTTTTGCAGGAAGCAAAGCATATTTCCTTTTATTGGGAGATGCTTTAGGTTTGTACTGTTCCTATGGCAACACAAAGGCTAAGATACTTATTTTATCATGTGACTTTCACCACCAAAGACTGCATCATATAAATATGAACGCCTGGGGAGTGTTGAGATCTGTAATTGTTAAAGTAATAATCCTGCTGCCACAGTTACTGCAATTTCTTCAGCAAAACCAGTGAGAGTTACAGCATAGGCTGGATACTGCAGCAGACATAAGAGTCTGAAAGGTGCAAAGCAGTACTATTTTATGAGTTTCCTATGTGTAGGAGGAACAGGATGATTCAGACAAATTAGAGAAGATCAGTTTTGGCCAGGAAGAGGGGGCGAAAGAAGCAACTTAATTATTTTATTTAATACTTCCCTTCCCCATGTCTCTTTAAAGGCCATAGAGACCCCATGATTCAGAACCCACCTCTTACATAGAAAATAGTTGAGAAAAAAATTAAAATGTTTGCTTCTGTTCCTCTGTCTAATCCAAAGGAATTTCAGCACCCCAGCTGCCCTCAACTCTCTCGCTGGGCAGATTGAGAGAGCAGAGTGGTATTTGTTTTCTCTGGGCTACAATCATTAAAAATTATGGTAAGTGGATTTGACAAATGTAAGAAATTGGCACTGTAACTAAGGAAGTTAACTTGGAGCCTTCTGACAAAAGAGAAATGTGGAATTTAAAACTGACATTAAAAGCTGTCTTCAAGATCAGAGTCTAGCCTGCCTAAAACATTAACACAGAATATTGGCTCTCAAGTCAATGAATACCTAATTACTCTGTGGGCAAACACTTAGCTGCATTATTTAAAATTATCAAAGTTGCAGAGAACATTTTAATCACCTGCCAGCTCTTCCAAAAAGTGAGAAGGAGAGGGTCTCAATGAGAGAACACTATGTACTAATAGAGAAGTACTTCAGAATTACATTAGAGAAGTACTTGGAATCAAATACTATTAAGTAACTGTAATGAGCACAAGCAGAAGAGGAAGTATCAATTCTAAATCCTGTCAAGTCAAACCAAGCTTTGAAGTCAATCCTGCTGCAAGCAGTTGGCTGGACTTGAGGTGGCCAGAGGTCCTTCCTGAGATTAGCAGGACTTTGCATCAGAGGTTTCTAACCTGCCTTCTGTCCAAATACCTGGCAATAAAACTGAAGGACAGAAAGACACTGAGGTTCATAACGCTGTTCAAAGCCTTGGTAGAGGCCCTCACATATTTCTGGCAGCTGTGGGTGTGAGATAGCAGAGAGATAACTGTGACCTGCTGTGGGAAGATAGCAGGGCTCTCCCCTGAACCAGGATGTTCCTCACAAACCACTGCAGAACAGAGGCACCTGGACAGACCTCTCCTCACCCCAAGGATACAGATGATGCCTTTGGAAGGGATGAAATGACCTAAACAGCAGTCAGGTTAGACTCCCAGCCTGAGATACATGTGGGAAGTACGACAAGCAGTGGAGGCTTTCTGAGAAGACTCTTTCTCTACCCAATGTTCTTGCAGATGAACAGAGTGAGGAGATATCCTAGAGCCCAAGACCATCCTCACCAGTATTCCCACATCCACTAGTCTAAGACTAGCCCTATCAGTATTCCCACACCCATTCACAGCACCCTTTCCCCCCATCCCATGCCAGCTGTGTTGGGCACTGTACAGATACGTAGAGAGTATGAGGTAAGAGCAGCAGCAATGTATCAGAGATATCACACCCATTTCCTTTCTAAAATGTTATCTTTTAATTGACTGGACCTGCCTGAGGTCCCTTTTCCACTCAACAAGTGGCTGTTTCAGTCCTGTTGACTCAGCACACTGTGTGCTGAGAGCTGGAGAGTGCTCAAGTGAAGTAAGGCAGCACCATCCCTGATGTAGGCGTGAGCACAGAATAACAATTTTTAAAAGGTAATTTCTAAGCTATTTTCAGACCTTCATAGGGAACAGCAGGATTCAGCCAGGCAGAGCAGATTTTGACAAATGCACATTCCACCTCCAAACAAAGATGGGCATGGAAAAGATCTTTCCATGGGTGTTGTACTTTTTTGGGTTGGGTAGAGATTCAAGACTCCCCAGTGAATGAGTACAGCTGGATACCTGCATTTCACAAGTAGTCTTGTACATTCTTGAAAGAGGAATGCTTGCATTCCCAAATTTGCTGAGACCTGAGATCTGGCAAACATAGATGTCATGAAGTTTTCCAGTGAAACCAATTAGGACATCACTAAGAATCACTTTATGGTTTACACAGCCATACAAACAGAGTATTCACCCTTGCAATTAATTTCATAAAGGCGGCCCTGAGCAAGCACTGTGTAAGAACACAGATCTTATCAGTGGTGGAGCACCAGAGCCCAGCCTGTAAGAGTTCAACCTGTAAGATCACATTAGTGATCAGCTGTCCACGTTCTCAAAAATGAAGAGAGTTTGGAGGATGATGGCCCAGATTTGGGCAGCATTCAGGATGCTCAAGGTCCAGCACCTTGAATGGTACATGCCATTGAAAGGTTCCTCCATTTAAGGCGATACTTCAAGGTGGTTCCTTGAGAGCTACTACCAGTACCAGACATACTGGGAGGATATAAGTGAAACCTCCCTTTCAGTATAGAGAGAAACCAGAGAAAAATGCTTTGGTGTTTTTTGTTTGTTTGTTTTTGTTTGGTTGGTGTTTTTTTGTTTCATTATGGGGGGTTTTTTGCACACCATTATGCTTTGCTGGCAAGCCAGGTAAGACATTTCCTAAAAGTTGTTCCTATAAATAATCAATCTCCTAAAAGAAATAAATGCACTTGCATTAAAACAAAATCCTTATTTTCCTAGGAGTATAAATACAAAAAGTTTATCTAGGGGATTTGTTTCTATTATGGGTAAGGAAAGTTGAAAACTTGGCAAAAGTCCAGTTTTAAGAGCTAGGAAGACATTTCAGTGTATTTATTTTCCCTTGACAAAGTCATGTTATAACATTCTGTCTGTTTTGGCTTACATGGAAAGTGAGTCCACCAGCCTTTCTTTCTTTCTTTCACATTCCTTAAAAGCTTAGAAAACCTGCAAATAATCCTATATTTACCCAAATAGATGTTTTTTATCCTTTGATCTGAAGCAGGAAGGTGAAATTAATACAGCTATTTACGATAATGGAGTTGTAAAATGAAATGGATGTGGGCTTGTAGCAAACCTAGAAAATAGATGTTAATATCATAAGGGTGAAAAGTTGTCAAAGATTTTCTTTGTTAAGAAAAGGCTTCTGTTTTTGATGTTTATTATGAACATGCCAAAGGAGCAATATTTAGTGTTATTACTTTACTATTAACATATTTTACTATTATAAAGGCTAGAATGCTATAGGAGTTTCTCTTGCAGATATTTATAGATAGAAGATTTACAAAAGAAGAGAGATGAGTCTTTCCTGAGATTGTTTTTTACTATTATATGAAATTATGTATTCAGAATATAAAATCTGATATGTTCTATACGATATAAAACAAATATAGTCCACACCCCCGTAAACAAGCTATGGGAATTAAATATACTTAAATAATCTGCCATTTCTCCACAGAATTAAACATTTCTACAAGCTTTTTATTTATTAACTTAGCTGTTGCACAAGCCTTCAGTTTCCTTTAATGGATTGTTTCAGGAAGCAACCAGGAATATAGGACAAAAACTAATCAGGAGACCAAAGTGGAGCTGAAGAATGAGGTGAAGCTCCTGCCAGCTGGTTGGTTTCAGAATTAGTTTCACCTTGCCCTACAAGTACCTCCACATCAAAAAGCTGACTGAAGGTGTTATTAATAATTCCAGCACTGTATCCCTAACCTAAAGCTCTTTGGCTCTAAAGATCCTATTGTGCTCAGTTGTCTTCCAAGCAAGTCCAGGAAAAAGAGAATGGGAAGGTCGATACCCACCCAGTGTGTACCTTTGGCTTTACCTGCATAAGTGCAAGAATATGAGACAGTCTGGTTTTACAAATTGGTATGTGAGGATGTAAGACCGTCTGGTTCTACAAATTGGCATGTAAAGTTGAGGGAAGACCTGATGGCTCAGCAGCATATGGCCTCTAGCCTAGTCACTGCTGAAAATCAGGTCTCCTAAAATCTGTGTAGTGTTTCATTGTGGTTTTGCTGTACAGTTGCTCTCAGCATTCATTTCAGTTTTCATGTTTTGATTTAATTAATGAGTTCAAGTTTCAAAAAATCAAGTGGGAGGCTGAACTGAGAATAGAGTTGGCAGTGAGTCGGGAAGATGTTAACATGTTCAATGCCCTCTTTCCACCTGCAAAATGTCTGCTTCAAATACCTTCTCCTGGTGTCCACCTTGATACCTCTCAGGGAGAATGCTGCTTGCTAACACAGTGA